TACATAACCTAAACTCGCACATTAAAATCATAACCCTATCAGTTTAATGTCGATTGGGTCAGGTTAAGTACGGATAGGCATGATTCTGGAGACAAGGTTGGCGATTGCCTATTGGTATTCATAGGTAACTGTTATAAACGCGCTGCTACGGATCGGGAAATCGCTGGAATCGACAAAGCAAGAATACGAAAGTGAGAATCGAAAACACAGACACACGATTTACGTGGTTCACTAACACGATGTGTGTTAGCTACGTCCACGGGCGAGAGAGAGCCAGTTTCACTATATCAAGGAGATTACAGATTACAGAGGAGTATGAGAAGTATTTATAGTACTTCTCCATGTGGGTCTAAACCTAATCCAATCTTCCAAAGGAAACGGTTACAGACCAGGCCCAGAATCCGAACCCAAATAACATTGAGCCCATACACCGTGGGACCCCCGATTACCAGTCGTAGCGGCTGATAGTCCGATTCAAGTCACATCAACAGTAACTTTTAGGGGTCGTTTGGTAAGCACGTAATGTAGAACTCATGTATTTGATGAATTCATTTATATTGTAGGTTGAGTTGTGAGAACTTGTGTAATATTAGAATACATTGTTTGGCTTGCATGAGTTCATGGTAGAACCCACATAATTTGGCATGAAATCTCAAATACTTTGGGTAAACCCAAAGCATTTGAGATATCATGGTCACATGAATTCTAGAATTACATGGTGCACCAATATCATGATATCTGTCCAAAAATAAAACAAGAAAAACAGTGGAATCTCATATATCATGTAATCTTGAAATCTGTGGGTGGAATGCATGCTTACTAGCATTTTCGGGTTGGTTTGGATCTCAGAGGCCCAAATTGGTAACCAGCCAAAAAAATTAACGAGCCTCAATTTCAAGACGCACATTTGCGCATATGGCTCATCTTTGATCGAATTTCGGGTTGGATCAATTTGGGTGGCATTTGGGTTGGGTGTCGGGTCATTTTGTTCACCCCTATTCATCACTACATATCCACTCACATTTCTCATATGATAGGTCCAATAAACGAGTTGGTGGGTTTAGGTTATGCGGTCATTTTTTCTGTGGCGGAGTTAGAAATGATGAATTTGTCTGTCTACGAACAGAAGAAAAAAACATGATCATTGGTAGAAAAATTCAAACTTATTGAGTGATCAATTTTATTTATAACAAGGAATAAAAGTTATATATTTATGGCTACTCGTAGAGTTTACAAATCTGAACCGCTTGCTCTCATGAGTTGTCGATATTCATGAGATAAGGTAGCATTAGACATATATGTCCCAAGTTCACATTTTCAAGAACCACTTGAGCCCAATAACTCGAGTTTTTGAGAAAGGTTCAATAATAGATCTTATATCGCATACTAACACGCCTCCTGAAACGAATGTCACTCATATAAGCTTGCATGAAGTTTTTGCACAACCATCAGACACTATGTGCTTCCAAATGAAGGTTACTAGTGTTCGAACAGAATGCATCTCAGTTACAGAAGGCTTTGATACCATGTCAAGAACACGTTGGTCTCAATAACTCGAGTTGTTAGAAGATGTTCAATAATGAATCTTGTACGGTATAATAACACTCTTATCCTTTAGAAAAAAGAAGACGTTGGGTGGTTTACTTCTCTATTGGGTTGTTCCCATGTGCAAATGTGGTACATGGATATGGATAAGAGTGATGAATTTTCCTATCTTCTTCATAATGATTTGTCGTGAGAAATAATCGATGATGTTGTTACTGATGTGAGATGATGAGTACAATCCAACCCTCTCCGCACAAATCATTATCAACCTGTTTTCCCCAAAGCCTTATTACCATTAGGGCTTTTGTTTTGTCTAAGGGCTTGGGATCTTTTCACCACAACAGACTCAAACCCAGTTGAAAATTCGGATTTTCAACGTCGAAATGTTTAGCCAAAAACAGGGGGTTTCCCTTCCAAAACGTACGGCCACCACAAAGAGGGAATTAGGTGGGGAAAAGACTCGAAGAGAGAACGTACGTGTCCCTGTGGAAGTCTTGTGTTGCAGCTAATTAATAAGAGGTGTAATTAACGAATTTTGATTGTGAAAACTGGGGGAGAAAATGACAGGAGAGGAGATTGAGCAAAGTCTATGAAGATTTGAGGTCTTAACCCACCAACACGTTTGATCATAAATAATAATTACTGACGGTAAATATGTATTCGGAGTTGAAACTAGCTAGTGCGTCTTCTTTTTATAAATATAAATTATTTTGATTAGAAATTTTATTTTGATGCAGTGGCAAAATCCCTATGTCATCTCAACATTGTGAGTTTGATCCCTTGCATAAACAAATATGGGTGATTATAGTTTTATTACTAAAACTTACATGTGTACTGTGACAAATCCAAAATCATATGACAGGACTCGAGGACTCGATCACACATGTATATGAAATTACTCTGGTTGTATGAATTTTCAACAAACTTATAGATTGTTTGCCTGTGAAAATATGGAAACGTGGGAATTGGACCTAATTCTCATGTCATGCTTGAAACTGCCAATTGAAAATTGACTAAAATTCCATGTTTGGGATGGATTTAAGTATGTGGAAATAGATGGTGCAATATGATTAAAATATCATTTTACCCCTTCCATTTAAGATGAAAGAGGGAAATTATGAAAAGGAAGAAGAGGGATAGAATTTGGAGAGAAAAAGAAAAATGTTTGAATGTGAGAACATGGAGGTGGGTGTCGTAATTACAATTCCCACGTCTGTAGAATTTGACACAAATTATCACGATTGTATTCCCACGTTACTTTTGTTCAATCAAACTTGTTCCTTCACTCAATTACCACGTGTTGTGGGATTTAGACTTAATTCACGCACCGAAATTAAACATACAAACAACCATTTATTGAAGCCCACAATTCGGTAGTGTGTGGTTCTAATGGTCACCCTGAAAATTTTCTCGTAATAATTCTCTAATTAGAAAGCACATCGTGTCAAATCCTCGTGTTTTGATGATTACTCCATTCATCCTTGATGGTTCACTAGTCTTTCACACTTTATCATCAGCACACACAATTTTCTTCTATTGGTGAACAGTAACAATTAATTTATGGCATTAGTACTGATTAACTATGATCTTTGTCAAACCCTAAAGAGGAGGGGAGGGGACCTTGAAATGCAATGATGCTGAAAGGCAGGCAATGAAAGTTGGGACTTGAATGCAACACCTAATCTAATAAATGACCAAAACCCACCACCACACAATTACAACAAACAAAGTCACTTTCTGAAGCCAAACTGGCACCCAACTTTTTGGCTGGATGGCTTCCCCAGCTCCATTTTCTGCACTTGTAGGCATGGAAGGTTATCATCACATCATGGTCTTAATCACAAGGGTGCAATGTTAGGTAACAAGTTCGTGGAGCGGGTGCGAGAGCAAGAGCGTGAACGTGAACGTGGCTTGTTTTAAAAATAATCCAATATGAGTAAGGGTCTCCTGTGAAAGAAAATTTATTGTCATGTTACAAGTAAAAAAGAACAACACCATAAGTAACTTCATTCTTTGTAAACGCTACTTCAGATAACTTATACAAGTACGTACTAAAAGTCTTCCTCTAAATGCATAAAAGTCCATTGTCATGCCATTATAACTTGGCGCCATCATTATTTGTGACGAAAAAATGTTGCCTTCGATAATGATTAGACAAGTAATTGTGTAGTTGTGACCAAATCTATATCTCGTAAGTAAAGGCAAAAAACTTAATCATGAAATCTCATTCGACCGATAGTACAAATTAGACTTTTCTCACTTGTTTTCCCCAAAAAAAAAAGTAATTAACGGTACGAGGCAATGAATTTGTCCTGGTCATCGACATACCCTACTTGATCATCAAAATCATGCATTGGCCCATGGATATTAAATTTCTTGAAGCTGTTTGTTCTTCTCTCCCCTGGCTATCACATGCTTCTTTTTATTTTTACCTTCCCAGCAACAATGAATGAATATGATAGCATCTCTTTAGATAATGGTGGTGATGATTTGTTAATGAAAAGAAACCAGAAACTGCCTGCCCATCTCCCTATTCTCTATGATTAAGTTTCCTTCATCTTTGGAGCCAGCAGTGGACTTGAAGCCGAAATTCGATAGCTGATCTTATACTGTTCTGGGAAAGGCTGACAGTTGATCCCTGTTAATGGTGGAAGTTGCTTCAAACCTGACTGCAATTTCCAGATCTAGAATGACAAGTTGCAGCTCTTGAACATGCTTTGATTCCGCTGATTAACAACGACTAGGAGTCTTTCTCTTCCCACTTCTAACTGATGCTTTTATTTCCTGCACTGCTATTTCCTCACAAAGTAGCTCTCTTTCTATCAATCTACAGGACAACAGGAGTTTCCTGTTTCCCATTTCCAGATTTAGAGCTTCCTTTCTTGGGGAGGAAATGGCATATACGGGTAGGAACTTTGTCCTGGAAAGTTACTGCTTTTCCAGCTTGCACCATGAATCAATCTATAGTGGTTGATCATTGCACCTCTCTCTTTTTCTCTCTAAAAAAGTCGAAATAATGATGTTTCTGGTTTTCATGACAAGGGGCAACGACCCATTAGAGGTTATGGGGGTTGGGGAGGGTTCCAGCCCTAAATGGTGAAACTTGGGAGCCATTATTTTGTCACCAAGTCACAACAATACCATAAATGGACCTTGTGTTTGTGTGGAGTAAGGTGCAGTAGAGCTGTCAATACAGCCACTACAGCAAAGCAGAGTAAAAGAAAACCCTTTCTGTAAATATGGTTTTCTTTTCTCTCTTTATACTGCTCTTTTACAGTACACCATGGTTTGCTGCTGGACCTGAGTTCTACAGGAGAAGAAAGTAGCTTTTTCCTCTGTTAACGGTAACTAGTACACAATCTCAAAGCTTAAAGATGTAAAAAAAAAACGCTTACCCGCCAAATGAAATCGGGAGATTTGAGCTCAAATTTGCAGGGGTAGAGTGTTTAAAATGCATCCACTCAGTAGAATGTTAAGAATTAATCAAATCCTAGCACAGTTCTTCAAACTATTGCCCCCACTAAATGGAACTGGGACTAGTCACCATCTTCTTTGAGAACTGGACAAAAGATGAAGAAAAGAAAAAGGAAGAACACTCATCATCATCAACAGCCATGTCTAACCCACATCACTGTAATTGCTAAATCTATTCACATCTGCATTCTTCACAATTTCATTGGCAAACAACAGCAGAATTACAGCACCAGTATGGTGAGTGGGGTTGTCAGTCAGTCTCATGTGAAATCCATAACATGATGAATTGTCACTTTCCCCCATCGAAAGTTATAGGAGCTCTCTCTGGTGTTTCTATCTTTTCCCTCCCACCCTGCAGCTACAAGGCCACCACATGTACACATATTTATTTAGATATAAGTGACAACTTTTGTATCCTCTTTTCACATAGGGCAACATCACACATGCACTCTTTCCCCAATTTATGTATGTATAACCCTCAAGGATATGAGATGCAAACCAAAAATAACAGGAATAGGGAAAGGCTGATCTCCAGGAACACCAGGCTAATCACTGTAGTTAGATCATCAGCATCAGTTGCTGACCTTTTGCAAGTAGAGAGCTATCAGCAACAACCCCATATCTGTAACCAGATCAGCTCATGTCTATTATCCACCACGCGATAAATGAGTAAGATAAGGGTTCAAAAGATTACGAGAGAGATTGAACTCATGAAGGTAGGAATCTTATATTCCATAGATCATGTTCAATGAAGAGTGAATTCGAGAATAATGTGTCTACTACCTGAGAATGTATCAATTTCGGATTACACACCAGGGGGAAAAACATAGAAATCCTCTACTCTAAACCAATAAAGAGGAATCTCTGACAACCAGGAAAAAATTGGAGTCTGCAAACATGAAAGGTGAACCCTTGGAACAAAGTTTCAATTCACGCACGGCTGGTTGAACGTGAAGATCCACCGCGCCCACTTAGACTTTGGTCTTTCCTCAATAAGGCCTCCAAATTCGGGAAACATTTTAACGGTCTAACCTGTACAGGTTTCGTATGAGAGAGAATGTATTAGTCCTCCTGCAGTATTGTCTATCAGGATTCAGGACAAAAGTGGATGAACAATCTCTCTTAACCAAAGCTCGTAATAGAAACACGATCAGCATACGACTATGTCTTGGTATCTCTTTACTTTCATGTACGACACTCATCATTTACCAGAAATCAATATCATATGTCAGTGACATTGGCAGGGCGGACTCATTAATGGGATGAAATGGTCATGTATGGAGATTAGCTCTCCCATGTAGAAAATAAGGTAAACGTCTCTAAAGATTATGCAAATTTGGTATTCAGCAATAAACACAAACAGCATAAGGTGGTTACCAATTCTCATCATTGCGGTTGTTACCGGTATATACTTCAAGCAAAGCATGGTAGAACACACAAAGATTGACGTTGACTTGAAGAGAGAGAGAGAGAGAGAGACCAACCTTCCAACCCCTCTTGTAACCAATTCTGTTGTAAATAGACTCCAGTCTTGTCAGTATTTCCCTGAAGGTTGGTCGTTTGGCTGGATTTTCATGCCAGCACTCCTCAATCAATCTGTAGGCCAAAAGACAACATTAAGTCTCCGGTAAATTGACTTTCATTCAATCAGGATAAACACATCGTAGGTCGCTTGTATATTATATTAATTTTGAAGGTTCATTAATTGGTTAGAAGAACCAGGGTCTGCAGGTACTTGACGTGATCTATTCGATGCTGATAATACTAGAATCCTCAGTCCCAGATCCCAATGCATGTACGCACAAAGAAATAAGAAAATCTTCCAAAGAGTTTGTTTGAGGGTGATGTTCATAGGGACCTAAGAACTCATGTTGCACATTTTGGATCAGATTATGTCAAGTAAAATAGAAAATCTGAATCACATTGAAACATACTCTTTAATCCCATGCGGATAATACTTTGGCGGAGCCTTAAAAGGAGGACGCTCAGTTCCAGCATATGCTTTAAGAACATCAGGATCTTCCTTGTTATAAAATGGTGGATAGCCTTCAATCATCTGTAACATACGGCACATCAAACATTGTTGATAAAAATGAAAATCGTTGAAGTATAGGAATCAGATACACTTTACGCTCAACATATCTAAGCAGAGATCCTCAAAGAAGTACAGACACCAGTCCTAACATTAAGTTATGACGAGTACTTGCCTCTTGTAGTATTAATGCAAAGGAAAAGACATCCACTTTGGTATCATATTCTTCATTTCTGAAAACCTCTGGGGCCATATAACGACCTGTCAATGAAAATATACATCCTTTCGTGACTATGGCTACCAATCAAGAATTTTCAGTGAAGAGGACTGAATATTGCTACTCCTGTCTTAAGCCATCAGATGTAGCAACATTAGGCAGGCACTTACAAGAAGTATCCTGGCAAGTTAGAGGCTTCTTTTCTTTCACCGTGAGCAACTTGCTAACACCAAAGTCTGCAACTTTGAGATGTCCTGAGTCATCCCGCAATATATTTCTGTTATCTTGCTCATAAGCAACATGAAAAAGGTGCTGGCAGATTCAGAAAATTGAGGAAGCTAATGAATTTTACACAAGACTAAACTGCTGTATCAGTATAGCAACATCTAATATGTTTGGTAAATAGAAGTCCAAGTGAAGAAACTTACGAAGGCTCAAGGTCCAGGTGAATTATCGGTTCTGGCCTGGTCTCGTGTAGATAATTCATACCCCTACGATAAATGGATTTATGTCAATATTATACCCTGAAACAATATTTGCAGTAGCAATTGAAAAACCAGAATTGTTGAAGCCTATATTGGACACTGGTGACTACTATCCATCATGCATTGGATCATGATGGAAGTTAGCAACTGACCTTGCAATATCAAGAGCAAATCTCACAGCGTTTGCTGGTCTTAGTGGGCCTTTTCGTTTAAGGTACTCGCGAAGATCTCCCTGAAACATCAATAAACAAGTGCACATTGGCCAAAAGCAATTTACCAGATTACTTCTCACTCAGTCATGGACACTTCTAAGGTGTCTCTTCACGAAAAAGTACATAAGAACACCAATCAAGAGCTTTGAGACTGTTGATAACTAAGATCCTCTGTGAAATGAGAGTTAACAAAAGAGCTTTGAGACAAAAGTAATCACTAAGAGAAACACCAAAAGAAAAAATGAGAAATGAGAGTTAACAACATCATTGGGAAAGAAACTAACATTCATATGAAAACAACTAAACATCCATATCTGCACGAGTACTATTATCCTGGGGTAATATACAGAGGGTAGCGCTACACTGAAACAATGGCTCAAGAAATGGAAGAAAAACCTTTGGTAAGTATTCTGTCACAATCATCATCGGGCTACTTTGAGTAACAGCACCCAGAAATTGAACCACATTCGGGTGTCTTATCTTCTGAAGCAAATCTAGCTCATCTCTGAATGCTCTTCTGTAAAAACAAATAGCTTTTTAAGAAGGATGAAAAGTCGCAGGACTACACAAGTAGGACAAGTAAAGGCTGTAGGTCATGATAACCCACACTTTATCCTCATCTGAAAGGACTTCCTCCCCGAGCATTTTAACAGCAACTTCTATCCCACGCCATGATGCTATGCAATAAGTTCCCTGCACAATGCCCAAAAAATTATCAATCAAATCTCTCTATTGCGAAGTTTACAGTTCCTCTCTAAGTTTGTTCACCGCTAGTACGTCATAACTTTAAGGAGATCATATACAATAGCACTGCTCTGTATAGATGGCTCATTTAGACCCACATAGGTTGATGCTTCAATGCAACACACAAAAACAAATTACTATATTCTACTCTCAAATGGCCGCCCATTCTCTTTCCTTTGTTCCCCTCAACCATTGTACAATCCTTTTTTCCTTCGGGTATCACCAATTTATTATATATCCCTATCCAACTAGTCTACAACTTGAAGTTTTGAGCACTGATATAGAGACAGGATGCAACTCTTCAACGTAGGAACCAAAATGGGAAGGTTGTAAATTGTAAAATCTGAAAACTCCAGCTAAGCTAAATGTTCAAACAGCAACAGAGATAGACAGGAAATGTGAACTCCAAAAACGTCCACAAAGGAATTGCACATGACAAAATGGAAGAGAATTCTTTCCAGTTCCAGAAAAGTTACAATAAACAACTACCTTAGTTATCTGCACACTGTTAGTGAGATCAAGCTCAGTGGAATTGATCTCATACTCCGGGACTTCACGAGCATGGTTGACATGCATTGGGGCCATCTAAATGAAAGAATCACATATAGCATTAGCAAGACACGCATCAAATCGACCAATTCACACAACACTGATTCCCATTTGACAAACACACAGAAAGCCAAGCATACCAGAGGCTTGGCACCGCGCTTCTCCAAGAGCTTAATCACGTCATTGTTTTTGTAATATATTGCATCTGCAAGGGGCTGTTAAATCAAACATAAGATTGCATTGCCACTTCTAATAAAGATGCACCATTTTTGGCATGGAAGCAACGAAGATTCAATTCCATCCAAAGAGAAGGCAAAACCAAACTCATTGTAAGAATTACCGTGCTCCCCCATCTATCTTTGGGGTCAACTGTGGCCCCTTTGTCCAGCAAGAACGCAGCGACGTCAGTCAAACCTTGGCAGGATGCAATGTGAAGCGCCGTCCGGTCATCAATGTCCCTGAAATTGACATCAACGCCCGAATCCAATACCTCCTGGATACCATCAAGATTGCCTTCATTCGCTGCGTACATTAATCGAACACCTGGATCAATGCCCTCCAGAGCTTCCTCGAACGTACCGGAGCCATCCCTTTCCCCTTCCGGCGCTAAAGACGACTGCTTTAGGAGAGTAAACCTCACCGGATTCTTACCTTCCATCCCAAAAACCCTCCAAAGAACTTGAAAGTTCAACAAAGATACAGAAAACCCTTCTCTACTACAATGTGAATTACCCCCAGCTAGGCCCTAAATATTCTCCCTTTTTGGTGGGGGGAAAAGCTTCCACACTCGATTTCTCCGCACCAGATTTCACCAGATCATTTCCCCAACTTTCGCCCCCAAGGAAACAGAGTGAGCGTTGGGTTCTTTTCTTGATTCCCAAGTTCCACCAACGACGGATGATGACGGCGGCAGATGGAGCTAGCTAATTCGCTTCAAAAAAAAAACCCCCGTAATTGGTCAAATTACAGTCGGGGTCGATCAACCCAAAACCCCAAAAGATGTATAATTGGGGATTGTGGGGGCGAAGAGATTTAGGGTTGAGAGGAGAGATCTATGGGACAGGGCGAATTTGATTCTCAACAACGTCTATCTATCTCAGTGGCAGCAAGCAGGGGCGGGGAACGTTGGAAAACGCCAGGAATGCGGTGAGGAAGTGTGGCACACGCGTCTTGTGCAGAAGTGAGCTGGAGCGTGAATGAAAGCAAGCTGGAAGTTAATTTTTGTTGGGTGGTGGCTGGCAGAGCGCGCGGTTGTTGAAGATGGCGGACCGCTGAAACGACGTCGCACTCAGTTGGTCGGTCAACACGGCGGAGTTTCCTGGTTCCAGGGCGGCGCTTGGGTTGCGTGAATTACTAGGATGTTTGCCTTTTCTGTCTGTAGTAATAAATAATTGCTCTTTTTTTTATAATTGTCTCTAGAATGATATAAATTGACGGATTGGGAGTTGGGACAGAAATCAGGTGGCCGGAGACCGGAGTAAGGATGAGTGACTGAGTGTTTGTTGGGAAAAACAGGTGAGCCTGCCGGCGAAATGAGAGATCCCCGGAGAAGGTTGAGATCAGCCGTTGGTGAGGGCAGATTCGTCATCTCCTTATGATTTTTGCCTTGTCCAATTTGAAGCTTCTCTGTTTTAGTGAAAATGAAGGAACCAATGGTTGAGGTGGATAACTCTCGAGATCATGAAACATTTCATCGTACTTGTTATCCGAAATTCCATATCAAATATTAACAATCAATTATAGTAAACAAAATCGTACACATTGGGGGAAGCCAAAAGTAAAGTATGGTCGAGTTATTTTTTGTTTTGTTTAATGTTTATGCATTATAAGTTTATAACTTGGTAGGAGGTACAATTACTAGCAATAGATTACTTAATTTAATTGTAAAAAATATCATAGTAAAATACACTAGTCTAACAGTCTAACGATTCACTTTTTGTGGGTAAGCGACTCAATTATTGTAAGACTCTCAATAGTAGTGTGCTTTAATGGGTAATTAGCATAAAATGCTATAAAAATTTTGGAGGTTGTACAAAACGATCGTAAAATTTTTTATTTTTGCGGGATTTAGTAACACATATTTGAACGTGGAATGAGATTGTCATTTTCGCCTATCTCCATTCAATTTTTTGTCAAACTCGTCCAGTCAACAGTCCACATAAACAAAATTAACAAAAAAAATTTACTTCACCATCCAAACTAACCAACCGAACTAGCCCACCCTCCCAAGCCAAGCTGATATTGCATACGAGAAATTTTACAATGCTATATAGTATTGATGCTATAGGTTTTTGCTTCTATTGTACAACTTAAAATTGTACATTTACGTTATGGTACAATTTCAGATTGTACCTATACTTTTTGTACAAATTCTTTTATGGTACAACTTGAACTTGTACCTTTATGTGATGGTACAATTTCAAGTTGTAAAGTTGTACCATAACATAATGGTACAAATTGTTTTATGGTACAACCTAAACTTATACATTTAATATTATGGTACAACTTTAATTTGTACATTAAAGCACCAATGCTATATAGCATAGTAGAAGTGCTCATTGCATACTTATTTTTACTATTTTTTATGAGCACTTTGTTACATTATGAAAAGAAGTTTAACTATTTTGTTACAAAATGAAAAGGTTATTGGTCACTTCATAACGTAACAAAATTGTCAAAAAAAAAAAAGAATGCAATATAAATTTGGCTCGGGTGGATTCTGTGGTTAGTTCGGTTGGTTAGTTTGTATGGTGAAGTGGAATTTTTTTGGATACATGGACTCCTATTTTGACGAGGTTAACGGAACTTTGAATGGAAATGAACGAAAATGACTACTTTGTTACACGTTGAAATTTTTATTACCAAATCCTACAAAATGAAACTTATGTTACCATTTTGTACACAACACAAACTTTTATGACCATTTATGCTAATTATCGATGCTTACATAATTTATGGTAATCACAAGATATATCAATGTTAAGAAAATAACTACCTCTCAAGTCCATTCCCAAACAAAAACAAAACAAAAAAACCCTATTGGTCGTGAATCGTGATCCCATATACCTAACTATAACACGTCCTCATATGTACAAAAGGCTGAGATGCGGCATATAAGCTGCAGCAACATCGCACACAACGCCGACCAGAGTTAGCTCCAATAACTCGCGTTACTGTGATATTGAGGGTTACAGAAATTCGACTTTTGAGCATACAACCATTTGACCAAATCAGCGCTTATACCATGTCAGAAACCAATCAGCGCTTATACCAAATCAGCAGCGCTTATATAGGGGGGTTGGAGAGATTCGAACATATATGACAACCCCTTAACCAAATCAGCTATATAATATCATGTTAGAAACTAGTCCAACTCAATAATTCAAGCTACAATTATATTGAGTACAGCAGAGATTCAAACGCACGCGACCACTTGACCAAACTAGACTCTGCTACGGAATATCATTTCTTGCAATTGCAACAATTCAAACTACCATTTCTTTGCAATTTCATTCGCAATCCCACCATACTTTTCTGTGATTTCCTCTCCGTGTAGCAGGAACACGATTCATGTTACAGAGTTTCTATGGCGTCGAAGGAAAAGCGGAAGAAGGAGGGAGATCACTTACGAGTGGATCTCTTGTACCCAAAATGTCCACCGCAGTGTGAGCTAGCTTCCACGACCTGACGAGGCAAATTGATTACAAATTCACAACCCAATTCAAACGGAATCACAAGGGAGAATTGGAAGAAGAAAAAAAATGGACAGGAACAGAGATCGGACCTCGGCGGCGGGACGGAGGAGGAGCACACGCTGGGCGACGCGATCGACGGCGGCGGCGTACGGCTTGAGCCCCTCGCAAGCAGAGTTGAACCTGCTGAGTGCGTCCTGCTCCGTCAAGTGTACGGCTCCGACGACGGTGACGTGGGGCTGGAACTCCGGGCCGCCGAATTCGGATCGGAGGCCGTCTATGAGCTTCTTGAGCCGGATCGTGACGTCTTTCGGCGGGACGCCCCACAGGGAGTAGGCGTGCTTCTTCTTCTCGTCAGCGGCGGCGGCGGCGCCGTCCATTTTGATTTTAGATGGGTAGAGGATTTTGATCGGTTGATTGCTTCCGTTGCAGATGCAGAGAGAGCACCCGAGTGTCAGAAAGGGATTAATATGGTGGTGGGCAGAACATTATATATCTTACAAAATGACCGAACAACAAACGGAAAAAATCCAAAAGCACCATTGTTTAAAACAAAATTTCCAAAAATACCACCCAACCCCAAAAAATTCCAAAAATACCACCCTTTTTCAAAAACCGCCACCCCACCCAGCGGTTTGGTCGAAAACCGCTTGTCGGGGGCGCGGTTTTGGACCAAACCGCGGGCCTAGGGGGCGGTTATAAAAAAAAAAAAAAATTGGACCAAAACCGCTTGGTGGGGTGGCGGTTTGGCCCAAAACCGCCACCCCAACCAGCGGTTTGGTCCAAAAGTTCGGTCAAAACTTCAAACAAACGTAACTTTGTACTCGGGTATCCGATCGTAGCGATTTTTTTTTCATTTCGCATAACTTTTCAAGATCTACAACTTTTACTAGGATGAAATATTCAAAACAGGAACTATTTGTGGATATACGGGACCTTGAGAATAACTTTACCTTTACTTTTCAGAAATCCATGTACATTTTGAAATTATTATTATATTAAAAGTTGTAGATCTTGAAAAGTTATGCGGAATCAAAAAAAAGTTCATAACATTCGGAGTTAGGAGCACAAAGTTATGGCCGCCCAAAGTTTGACGAAAGGCGAGACCCGGCGGTTTGCGGCTTGCAAGATCTCAAAAAGTTTGCGGCCTCCATTTTTTGAATCCGAATAACTTTTTGAGATCTTGCAAGTCTCAAACAGTCGGGTTCCGTCTTCGTCTTGAAAAAACGTCATTTGCCACCCCGAACGACCTTTTTTTATTTCGTCAAACTTTGGGCGGCCATAACTTTGTGCTCCAAAATCCGAATGTCATGAATTTTTTTTTATTCCGCATAACTTTTCAAGATCTACAACTTTTAATATAATCATAATTTCAAAATGTACATGGATTTCTGAAAAGTAAAGGTAAAGTTATTCTCAAGGTCCCGTATATCCACAAATAGTTCCTATTTTGAAAATTTCATCCTAGTAAAAGTTGTAGATCTTGAAAAGTTATGCGAAATGAAAAAAAAAATCGCTACGATCGGATACCCAAGTGCAAAGTTACGTTCGTTTAAAGTTTCCACCGAACTTTTGGACCAAACCGCTGGTTGGGGTGGCGGTTTTGGGCCAAACCGCCACCCCACCCAGCGGTTTTGGTCCAAAATTTTTTTTTTTATAACTGCCCCCTAGGCCCGCGGTTTGGTCCAAAACCGCGCCCCCGACAAGCGGTTTTCGACCAAACCGCTGGGTGGGGTGGCGGTTTTTGAAAAATGGTGGTATTTTTGGAATTTTTTGGGATTGGGTGGTATTTTTGGAAATTTTTTTTTAAATAGTGGTACTTTTGGATTTTTTCCAGAACAAACTTCTTTGTCAGAATTCAACAACTTCTAGTGAGGTCTTTGTTAAAAGGAAAATTTGACTAATATTGTATGAGAACGAAAGGATTGACTAATAAATTGTATTAAGTCGTTTTTTAGTGGATAGCTAGAGTAGAATTTATGTTGGGAACCGTTTGTGAGGTAGGTATTTGGTCATGTACACTTTTGAGCATGTGATTCTGTGAGAATTGACGGGAGCATTTACAACTTTAGCGAGTATAGTTAATAAACTACTTGATAGGTATGTCCCGATGTTACAAATTAGATATGTCTAATAGTATGTGAAAAAGTTAGGCACCAATTATATTATATTCGTACTCTATATGCGCATATAAAAATTCATTGAATCATTACATAAGGTTCTTAAAATATATACTTGTATCAAACATTTGTAGGGATGTGGAACACCCTGGGGTGGAGAGTGGAGACTGGAGAGGGAGCGAATTATGCGTATGATTGCTTTTGTTTTGTCGCATTTGGAAGTCTCGAAATAAGGTGGCATTTGAGTTTACACAATTTTTCTTTTCTTACATGGTCGGGCTTTTTTCTTTGCTGGTTGGGTCGGGGTGCTACTGCATGGACATATGCAGATTTCAGCAAATGGGGGTTGTTCGACCTGTTCTCACAAGGCTGGGGGATGAGTTTTACTTGATTGTTATGGAATGACCATGACGGTGGAAGGCCGCTTGTTTGATGGGGTTGTGGAGCCTTTCCTAGTGCATATGTTGGTGTTGCGCGAGAGACTATGTTCTTAGGTATGTGAATGTGATACATGGATTAACGAGAATGATGTTTATTGGTGATGTAAAAGATGTTCTAGACAAAGTTTTCGACGAGTGTGAGGGGGTCATTTACATAACAGTTCTTCAAGTGATTTTTCAAGTATTTATTATCCACTGCACTGATCGCGATAACAACAACGCTGCCCATTTGATGGCAAAAGAATGTCATTTCATTATACTCCCATATTTATTAAGATTTGATTTTGCGTTTTGATTTAGGACATTATATTGACTCTTTAATTTTTTTTCCCCTAGATTATACGTGTAATCTAATAATAAAAAACATGATATACGTATATTTAGCCAGGTCACACGCTAACCACGTGGACTTAACTTGACGAAGCCGGACTCCGAACCCAAAACCAAACGTTGTCCGGTCTCAATTGGCCCAAATTTGTCCATCCCCAAATTGCGTAAAGCCACGTAAATGGAATCAACTGAGAACACAAACCACCGCTCGCCGCCGGACGACGGTTGCTTCCTCGAAGCCTTCGACGATTTCCCCTTCGACGATTGCTTCACTTGTACCGACCTATCCGATCAATCCACCTCCAACTCCACAATCTCCGAACTTCCCCTCGAGGTCTCCTCTCCCGGTACTACCCTTCGCCGTCGGCCGGTCCCTTGTCGCGTAATCGCCGCCGATGACGAATCCAACCGCTCCGATGAGGAGGAAGCCTCTACAATCGCCTCCTCCGTTACCCAGCGTGACAACGCGAACGCGGTATCATCGGAAGAGAAAGCGAAGGCCTTTTACCCGGATTTGATTGAAATCGGGAGCGATTCGGAGATAGTTGAGTCTTCGACGGGTCCAGATGAAGTGGAATCGTCTCCATCTCAAAATGTTGGGTCTTCCAATCTGCTCGAATTGATAGCGGTATTGGTGATTAAAGCACTTGGATTCCAACTCAATTTGATCCTCAATTTCGTTTCTTTCCCTTTATGGGCTGTCTATTGCTCCTATATGTTTGTCACCGATCCATTTGGCATTACAAGGCGTGGCAAGGCGTTCTTGTCGCAGCGGGGGTTTCACCTGTGGAACTCAACTGTTGGGTCTTTGAGCTCGTGGGTGAATCACTGGTTGAAGGAGCACAAGTCGAAATGGAAGGTCTTGCTGGGAGTTGGGTGGGGGTTGCTTCTGTGTGTTTATGTTTGTGTCATCTTGTGTGGGTTGCTGGTCATGGCAATTATGGTTAGCAGCTTGGTCATGAAGTTTCTGGTGGAGGAGCCATTGCAAATGAGGCAGGAGTTGAATTTCGATTACACACAAAGCAAACCGGTGGCTTTTGTTCCTATGGTCTCTTGTCCTGGTCTTGGCTGTGGTGTTGATTGTAAAGATGGAGTTGGGGAGATCAGGAGTTTCAGGCAGAGAGTCATACCTCCCAAGCATAAAGTGCAAGCCACAGTTTTGATGACTCTGCCTGAATCGGAGTATAACAGAAATCTTGGAATGTTTCAGGTAACACTTCCTTTCCTGATGTATAGTTTTTTTCAAGAGCTAGAGTTCTTGGGGTTGTTTGCTTTTACGTATGTTAGTTGATACAGAAACAAACTCTTGCTTCCATGGTGATCATAGTAAAACCACAATGTTGGATAATGAAAGCTAAGAATAATGCCCATTAGGGGGTTCGTTCAGTAGCAATTTCAGGACCAAGTGATAGGATCAGTGAGAATTAGAGCAAGTTTGGCAGAATTGGCAAATAGGATCAGTGAAGCCAAATTGATTCCATCTTCCACATTGTAGAAGTTATAAGCTGGTGTATTTGATTTGATCAACTAGAGACCAAATGGTGCCCAAGTAGTTAAACTGAATGGATAGGCTTAACTGAGAACTTGGTAATGTATGTTCAAATTGAGTGCTTGGTTGATATGTTTCCCATATGAAATAATGAAGGTACGGGTGGAGTTTCTCTCAGCTGATGGCAGTGTCCTGGCGAGCAAAAGCCATCCGTGTATGCTGAAGTTCAAAAGCGAGCCAATCCGAATTCTTCTAACCATGTTCAAGGTCGTGCCTCTTGTTGCGGGTTACATATCAGAATCCCAGACCCTGAGGTTGAGGATACGTGGTTTAACAGGAGGTCATGTGCCGACTTCCTGCCTCAGGGTAATGATTGAACAGCGAGCCGAATTCAATCCTGGTGGTGGCATACCTGAACTCTACTATGCCTCCCTGATGCTCGAGTCTCAACTCCCTTTCTTCAGAAGGATCGTATGGGGTTGGAAGAGGATGATTTTCGTGTGGATTACTCTCGTATCCTTTATGATGGAGTTGCTCGTTGCTGTAATATGTTGCAGACCTGTAATCCTTCCGAGACCCAGGTCGAGAGATGTTTCTACTCGTGAAGTACACAGTTCTAGTCCAAACAATCTCCCCAAGCGAAGGTGAGATTCCCCATTTCGCTTTGACATGTATGTATTTGATTGTAGCAATTAACCGAACATAAACTCACTCATTAGCTTATGAAATCCTAACTTCATTGTTCTTTTCATAGTCTCTTCAGAGTTGTATACTTGTATATCGAACGTACAGGTTATGTTATCCCATTCGTTATCGGATTATGAGACCAAGATCAATCGTTAGGGTCCCTTTGTTAATTTAGTTGTTGAATGTGAGTAGGATCAAATCGTTGGTTGCTGGATAACTAAGAACCACAGAAGCATGAGGATCGAACCTTTGATCGCCTCTAGAATGGGGAATTGCTTCCTTTGCAACCACCAAAATCCAAAACAGAGTTAATAAAAACAGAGAGAAGCAAGAAAACCTGCAACTCGTTAATCCAGTGTCCCCCAACAGCAAGTCAACGCCGGAACCCAGCCGGCATCTCCCGCCGAACCTAAAATACCAAACGACCGTTGCGCCGAACCTGAGTTTTATAAACTTCATCTTCTTCATTCGCTGTCTATCATCTCATCTCCTCTGTTCTCAATCTTCCCTAACTTCCTCTGTAGTTCACGGCCGGATTGGAAGAGTACGCTTCCATGGTTTGGAGAAATTGGACAGGAAGAAGATGATTTCTCACCGGCTTTACCGTGATTCGTGCAATCAGGTCTATGGGATGTACGTTAAGGACCTGTCGAAGACAGGGAGAGATTTGACCAATGCGGTGATGGTGGATGATAACCCGAACGCCTATTTGCTTCAGCTCGGAGAATGCGATTCCGGCGAGGCCCTTTGTCGATGATCTTGGGGATGTGGAGTTGGTGAAGCTTGGGAAGTTTTTCGATGGCTGTGGTGGGTTTGGTGATATTAGGGATGCTGTGAAGATGTACGATAGTAGTGGAAGAGACGAGGCTGGAGGAGGAAATATGGCGATTTCTTAGTAGGGGTGGTGGATCAAACCCTGGTTTCTCGACCAGCTGACTCTTTATTTCTTCTTCTTCCGCTGTTTCTGAACAAACTCTTGTTCAAAACCTCTGAAGAAAACATAGATATGGATATTAACTAGTGAAATTCATCCAACATTTCCCCCAATGTCCATTGTAATTTTCATCCTCTGTAATGACCATCGACATATAGAAACAGAAACTGCCAATTTCAGATTCAGGAGACTCAAACTTTGGGCAGAACTAAGAGTGCCCGAAAATCTACACAATGAACTGGCAATCCCAGATCCTCAATTGATTATGGTAATATTTATCACTTTCGTAAACTGTGATTACCAACTAAAAAAAAAAGTGAAATTTCAGTCCAGTCACCTCCTCTGCTCCGCCATGGCTGAATAGAGGAAGAGAGAGGCCCGGAGCTCTGCTTCTTCCAGGCGCAGTTTCAACGTTTTGTTCAAGAGGAAGAGAAAGGTCTTATAATCAGCTTCATTGATTATTCACTGTCTCTGCGTTTTCTAGTTTTGATTCTTTCTTACCTCTACTAGTTAATGGGACATTCAATATGGTTCATGATTGAGGTTTATTGTTCTGGCTGCAGGGAGACTACTGCAAATCGCATTGCTACAATCCAGATGATCGAATGAGTCAGCTGCCAGAGGGCATCCTGCAGCTTATATTGTCTCACCTGTCAATCAACGAAGCAGCCATTACCAGTCTCCTTTCTACTCAATGGAGGTACTTGGGCGCATCCATTACCCGTCTCTGACTTCGACTCCGCATTCTTCCCTATCGAGCTGCAGCCTCGTCTACCTAGCCACTCGAGGGACAAATACGTTCGACGCTTTAGCAAGGTGGTTCGATCACACAAAGGCCATAGCTTGGAGGAGTTCAGACTTCACCCTCGGCCTCACCGAGAAGTACAAGCGATCCATCGATTGGTTCGTCGAGTTTGCAACATCGAAGCGAGTCAGGAACCTGGAGCTGGACTTCAATCTACCGCATCAAAGACGAAACTGACACCTATATGGAGAAGAACCGTGCTAGGTTACCATGGAGACTACCCCCGCACAGTCTCGATAAGGAGGAAAATGTACGTATTTCGAGCCAACCGGTGGCCCTCGGATCGTTTCAAGTCGCTCGAATCGCTGCGTTTGAGGTCCGTCAGGATGCGTGGGGACGTCCTGGAGGGTCTCGTGTCGAACTGTCCGGTCCTCGAGACACTGACTCTGCAGTGTGTGGGCGACTTGGGTCATGTAAAATACGGGTTAAAGCCCTCTAATCTCTCTGTTCCTTACCTTCCCTTTCTTTCTATCCATTCTTTGGGGATTGAATTTGATTCGAACACTTGTAATACATATACTGTAATGCAGTCTCGCGACAGAAGATCAGGAATGATGAGAGTAACTCTACCTTCAACTCAATTACACATTTGACCTGCAGCCTGAAGCTATGAATACAACACCACAACATTTCAAAACGAAATGGTGGGGGGAAAAGCTTCTTCATGAGTTCTTTCTTCCATGTATCATCTCAACCTAGTCTTGGAGCTGCCGAGCGTGAGCTCAAGATCATCGGAGATCAACTCCTCGTGTATCCGCTCCCCTTCCCAAGCCTTAACCAACCTACCAGCACCAGCATTGCTACCGCTCCCAAAAGCAAACTCCGCCGCCATGCAGCTGTCCGCCATGGGGACATCCGCGGTGTGATCGAACACGGCCGGGGAACACGTCCCGCTCTGCCCAGGCGTCCACATTCTCGACCCTGTACCGGACAGCGGCTCGTCCCTGAACCCGAACGGGTTCGGGGACGACACGAGGCTGAACGTCGGGGACGAAGGCCCGCTCTGCAGCCAGCCCGAATCGGGCTGGCGACTGGGGCTCTGCGGGGTGGATGAAGGCATCGAGGAAGGCATGTAGGGGTAGTTCTGCTCGCCACCGGCGGCGTAATCGTCCCAGTCGCTGTTGATGCTCCGCTTGCGCGGAGTTCGGACTGTTGGTGAGCTCAGCGGCGGAGTGACCGGTGCGCTTATGGAGCCTGTGTGGATGTAGAGGTTGTGAGTGTGATTGTTTTTGGAGGAGGCGGAAGATGAGCTGGATGTGAGGTTTTTCAGCCAGGGGATTAGGGAATTGGCGTCGCCGGCCGCGGCGGCATTGGCGCTGTTGGCGGCGGCGTAGTGGGAGGAGATGGGGCTGGGGAAAGAAGATGAGGCCGGACTTGGTTGGTATGACGAACAAGGGCTTGCTGATGTTGAACCTCCTCCTCCTATTATGTCCATTCTTCCAACTGGTCTGCACCCCTGAAACACAAAAGAAGGCCATTAGGTTCATGCAGAAATCATGGTTATGTATAGACATTGATTAGGGTAGCTGATGAATCAAACTTGTTTATTCTACGAAATGACATCTGATCTGATTGAAGGTAAAACCTTATACTGGATTCAGCTCAGATGATCGATTTTCCGATTGGACCGACGATACAGATTTAGCGAACACTGCTAAAATGTGGAATCCAAGGATCCTGAAGAATACTTACTAGTCGTTAATAGGGTTGTTGGTTCGGCTGGGTCCAATTAACCAAACGGAAACCATTAAAAAGCCGAAAATCGAACTACTACTGTGTTTCCCCAAAATTAAAAGCAAACCCGTCATGGTTTTATCGGTTTCGGTTAACCAAAATTCGATAAGAACTTAAACGAGTTCGGTTTCATTTAGAATATGACAAAAAACCCCAACATCCTCTGTTAAAACGAAACCCCCTACACCCCCCTCAACTATTGTTTTCCGATTTTCAGTTTAAACCAAACTCAATTAGATAGAAACCAATATGCACCTTATCGATTCGATTTCTGTTTAAACCGAACCAATTTCCCAATCATGGTCTCAGTAATAAACTATAATCTCCCTAGAGGCCCAGCCCAGTTTTTTTGCTTTCTTTTTGTCTATCACCGAAAAGCACAAAAAAGACCACGGGCCCAAAAGTCCACTCACCAGGCCGTGAAATCATAAGCCCAAAATTACACCTGACCCGACACAACGAGGTAAGTAATCATTGTGGATTTGTGGTTGTTTTTTACCCCCTCTGCATTATTGCCGGAGAAAGTGGTGGTGTGGGGAACCTCCAAAAGGGGCGGTGAAATGAAACGGCAAGATTAAAACATAAAACTTAAATATAAAAAAAAAAAAATCCGTCGTCACGTGAAAAGTGTCGGAAGTGAGGACGGACGGTTTTGTTTGGTCCACCTGACGGACTGCAGTCGGTGTCCGCACCTGGTTCTGCTGTTTCTTAACCGCGCCGTGGGCCGATTCTTGAAAACTCGTCTTCCGTGCACTTAAAACAGAGCCGAGAAGACGGAAAAGGAAGAGGTACGGCGACGGTGACGGAAAGCGTGACGCTTCTCCCTCCCTCCCTCTCTCTCTTTCCCGTGACCATTTTTTTCCGCCGTACCGCTATCGTGCGCCTAATGATCCAGCTCATTTTAGCATAGATTTTCGATTTCTCCCTCCATCTCATGATCGGAAATTGCGACGGGCAGGCCGCAAGCATCAACGATTTTGCAGATCTAACCACCTCCGACGGCCGTCCGGTGGATTGAGCCAAATTAATTGATTAAATTACGGAACTACCGAGCTAGGAGGAGGGAGAGTAGAAAGGGAAGATGATTAAGTGTGATTATTATTACTAATTAAGCTTGAAGCGTACCTTTCTGTAAGTGGTTCCGTCTTCTTCGACGGACCACCCAGCTTCGTCGCAGAGTGCTTTGAGGACCTCGTTGTTGTCGCAGTGTTTGGGGAGCTTGTAGTTTCCGTACATCCTGAGCCCGGAGTAGATCTTGGCCGCGATCGCCCTCCTCCGCCGCTCTCTCTTCTTGTTGTTCTCCCTCTCCTTCCACGTCGGCATTCTCGACCCCGACGTCATCGCTCAATTCGCACACCGCAGAAGGAGAATTGAGCCGATCGGTAGGGAAGGCGAAAGGAGACGGAGGTGATCGGCCGGCCGAGCTGGGGGAAGCGGATTTGGCGGGTTTTCCCCCCGAAAGAAATTGGGCAGTTAAATGAAATGGAGGAGTAATGGGGAGATGAGCTAAATACGAAGGTGAGAAACTGAGAATACACTAATCAGGAGAAGTGTGAACTCAATGAATTGAAATTACGGGATTGCCACTTGACGGAGGGGAAATTGATTTCCGGGATCACGGTGTTAGGCACGTGTTTAGGCTTTTCATAAAGGGAAAAGTGCCAAAAATGTCTTGCGAAATGCCTCTCTGGGTGGGGTTCGCGGCAGCTGCTTATCTTATGTCTTCACACTAATACTATTGTTTTCATTTCTTACTAGCACCGGGCCCGGCCCCTTGGCCGGGAAAGTCTAGACAAAAAATATGTTCATATAACATGCTTACAATATAATAGGAAGATACGACATATCACTGAAAAAAGAAATATAATTGTTCGAAGAAGAAAAGAAAAACATACAAAATAATAGGTTTTCAATACTTAAAAATGGCAAATAGTTCAAGATTAGAGTTGTTTTTCCTAAAACATACATAATGAACCCTCAGAAGGAAAGAAAAAGATTGGTCTCTAACAGATTTTAGGAATGAGATCATTTGTAACCCTAATTAATGTCTAACAGATACACCCATATTATTCCTCTTCATAGAAAGTAGAATAAGGATCAGCTGGTTTGGAAGCATGCTAGTCGTAGTCCCCGAAGATGCCTAGAAAATAGTCCGGGTTCTCAAGAGAGCTTCAAACTTAAGGCTGAGTGCAACTAATTTTGAATTACATATGTTTGTCTTTGTCAGTGTTGCTGATACTTTCACTGACTACTTTGATTGGTAAGTTGACCATAAATAATAGGGATATACCTTATTTTGACCTTGAAGTTTGTCGTAAAAGCCAAACTTGACATGAACTTGCAAATAAGACAGTTTTTCAAAATTTTGAAAGAAATGGACAAATTTGGACTGAAATTTATGTTGTTCGTTAATATTAAAAGTTAAAAATTTCTTCATCCATTCAACATACAATGCTCAGGTGGTTGCGATTGCGATGTGGCTTCCATGTCATAGGGATGATACCTTATTTTGGCATGAACTTGATGTAAAAGACAATTTTGGCTCGAATTTTCAAATAAGATAGGTTTGTTTGCACTTTGAAAGAAATGAACAAATTTGGTCCGAAATTTGGGTTGACCTTTAATATTGACAGTTGTGATAGAGAGGTTTCGGTTGCGATGTGGCTTCCAAGTCATTTATTTATAAAGTCTAAAAAAGTGAATTTTTCAGAAGAAAAAAAGACCACAAAATAGGACCCTTAGTATATCCTAATATTTTCATATTTACTTGCATAAATCATATTAAAAGGAAAAAGAAATTGATTCAGGCCCCCAAAAATCCCAAAGCACGAAGCTATCTCTCTTTGTACCCCTCTCATCAATATTAACGGCAACCTAAATTTTGGGTCAAAGTTATTCATTTCTTTGAAAATTCGTACAAAACTGTCTTATTTGAAAGTGTAGGGCAAAATAGCATATTATACCTATGACGTGAAAGTCACACCACAGTCACCTTAACATTGTATGTTGAGTCATAAAAAAAAGAAATGTTTGACCCTCAATATTAATAACCGACCAAATTTGTTAATTTCTTTCAAATTCGGACAAAACTATCTTATTTGAATGTTCATGCCAAAATTGTTATTTACATCAAAGTTCAACACAAAATAGGATATTATCCCTAAATAATATAGGAGTACTAAAAATATTGGACTAATGAAGTTCAAAATGTTTCAAACAACATACAACCCTGATAAAACTGCAGTCCAACCAACTAACATTTAGAACAAATGACTTTCCAGCAGGATAACACAACTATAAGTATGGGTGGTTCTATCATATTTTGATTAAGAAAATGACATAAGGAAATGATATATAGACCTTGAATGATATACTCTGAGTATGAAAATGATGTCTAGTGGCCGGAGCTAGGGACATGGTACTATACCTTAAGCCCTTACAGATTAAAATCTAGGTCTTAATTCTATGAAGCTCATATACTAAGATCAATTTTATTAGAAACAATAATCGAAGGTCGTGTTTCATCAAAATACATCAAAAAAATTATGTGCATAATCTTAGTGTTTAGGGCAAGGATTGAAAACCCTTAACGTACCGGGGGTTCGACTAAACCAGTAGGCACTATGTAGTGTTGTGAAACGACTGAATCACGGTTAACCACAGTTTTCGCATAAAATACCCTCCTGCCGACTTTTTCGGTACAACCTCTGATGAGGTTTTATAATCCTTGGTTTAGGATCTATGATTTAAATAGTTAAGACCTAGAGTTCACTCGTCAAGGGTTAGAATATAGTGTCTCGTCTCGAAATCAGGTTAATTCAAAGTCTAGATTGCCATTTCTTACCAAGGGTATGAGTTACCTTTTGATTTTACTCAAAATATGATAGAAAACACTACACACACATACTGGTATACTATAGGAGTATAGTATACTGGTATACTCCAAGAGTATAGTATACTCCACATGATCTAGACATTAGATGTACTTTGTTGAGCTCCAATCAATCTCAATGGTCAATTATAATTTTCCATTAAATTAAACTTTGGGTTTGAGTTTAGAGAATCGGGGCCTGGGGTTTATCCATTAGAGGTTAGGGTAGAGTATCATACCCCAAACTCGGTTAAAAATCATGGTCTAGATAGAGATATCTCACGAAGAGTACCTGAAGTATAATATACTCCAGGAGTACACCAGTCTGACCCATATATATGTGGTTGTGTGTGTACATATATATTTAATATTGTAATTTGATATGCAATATTCGAATAAATGATATTTGGATTGCGGTTTTAAGATTATCCTCCATTTATAAGATAGATTACCATTATTATTGAAGTCAAAATAAAATAATAATAAATGATAATCAAAGATCCAACACTAAAAATGCTTAAGAAAGACTTAGTGGGGTAGCTAACTGTGCTGGAAAAGTCATTTGATTTTCAGAATTTTGCCTCTTGTATGTTTTTTTTATAAATAAATGCAACAAATTTGTTTAGTCTTATTGGTTATGACTCTTGTCCTTGTTAGAAGAGACTCGGGTTCAAATCTTGACACTGATATTTTTTTCAAATAAAAAAATAAACAATTGCAATGACGAAAGTACCCTTCCTACTTTCACTCTCGTTGCAGAAAATTTGAAATGGAAGAAAGTTGAGTCATGAATCTCCATCATATATCTTATAGAATATCGGATCTAATATAATGCGTTTTGATTATTTGGCGTCGTGAATTTTTAAGAAAAAGATGATCAGAGTTCAAACTGAATTGAATGTAATGATAGTATGATTCTCGATTCTTGTATTTCTTTTCTCTTGGACCGTGATTATCATCGTCCGATCCTACCCAATTGATATATGTTCTGTTCAATGGGTTTGATGGGTTACTTCAATTCAGGGGCGGACCCATGGGTGTTTAGGGGTGTCCGGGACACCCCTAAATTTTGGGAAAACGATTATCCAAATCCCGATGGTAATTTACGTATTGACAAAAAAAATTATAATTGATAGTCGGGGACACCCCTAAATCTAAAAAAGTGATTATCCTACTCTCATCTTTTAGTTTGAGTATTAGAATATAAGTGAATGTTTGGGTAATTCAAACCTAGGACACTTTTATTTTAATAAACATAATTTCCATTAGGCTACAACTCATATGTTATTCGATTTTAAACACTCTGTAATAGTAAAATGTCATTCTCTATCTCTAATTATTTTCAAAATCTAACAATTAAACAAATTTTAAGGTACCCTTAATTTGTATTGATTTATGGTTGTACGACAAGTGTTGAAAGAGTCTTTTCAGCTTTGGATTACATCAAAAACAAGTTTAGAAATCGAATATGGATCAGTTCATGAATGATTGTCTAATATGATATACAGAGACAATTTTTTTTTTGAACAGTGTAGACCCCAAGTGTGTTCTACAATCATTTTTTATTATAAAAACACATGGTGAATTTTTTCAAGCTATATGACTGTATGAGTAAGGTATTTCTTATTTAAATATTATTTATTTTTTTAATTATTTTAAAATTATTTGTATTTAATTTATTTTTTAAAAAAGGACACCCCCATGTAAAATTTCTTGATCCGCCACTGCTTCAATTACTTGATTGCTTATTTTTTAGATAGAGATGACATATATTTGTTTTTAGTTAGATACTACTTAACGAATTAGAATCCGTAACTTTCAGATTCAAGACCAGTGACACTACTACGGGAACAAAGTAGTTATTCACCCAATTATTTGATTATTACTTGTTTTGGGATAAAAGAGAAAGCTCAAACGATAGTTATTGTGTTTATCGCGGGAGTGATATGGGTCGTTGGGGGAACCGGTGGAGGAGCGTTGACTGAGCGGTTCATTAGTTGCGTACAAGTGTACAACTATACAGCCAGTTCCAAATCGGTTTTTGTCGTTTCTAGTGTTAATCTATTCGTTTGTTTGGGCTTTGGTTGCTTTGCATTTGGACCTCTATTGAAAGCTTAATTAATTAATTAATAATCCGTGATTAAAACCCCAACCACAATTTGGATTTTGGTTTAATTATAGTATACACGTCCAATTAAACCCAACAACTATAGATACCAACCATCCTGGCCGCACGGGGTTCCATCGCAATTACGATTACAAAAACACCAAAAGTGAGTGAGTGGCCGGTTCTTCTGTTTTTTTTATAACTTGACATTAGGTATTGTATAATTATATACATAATATAAAACAACGTGACATTAGGCAATGATTTGAATTAAATAGCTTTTCTATTGTTGGGAATTGGTTGTTCTATGCTGGTATTTAATGCTAATATAATTAATTAATGTATTATATATTAACTGCTCACTCATAGCTGCTCTCTTCTTCCCTCTGTTGTTCTATTAATTTAGGTTTCATATGCAAATTAGAATCAGGTGTGGTTTTGCTTTTGCTAATTATTGACTCTATCGATCCCTCATCCAATTTATAATCATGGTAACTGCTACGTATACACCGTTGGACGTTGGCTTGATAACTGTGATGAAGGTCGCGTCCCTCTCAACTCGGTCGTGCTCAGGCATTCTCAGGTCTCGCCCCGTCTTGACCATGAGGCGTGTTCTCTCAACAAGACCCCTTGACGAGGAGGTCATGCTGGTGTGGAACTTAGTGTTTTAAGATTTAAAAAATCTAACTATGTACATCGTGTTGTACTAAAATTAAGTTTATTTTTGTAACTAAAATGATCTTAAAAAAGTATTAAACGTCTTAAGTCAATCACAGAGGAGCATGATCCGCCACAAAACAATGAGAATTGAGATATGAAACTCGAATTAATCGTTCGATCGTTTACCAAACGAACATATCCTTGCGTTTTGTCCCTTTTCGATGATTGAGCTGCTAAAAATTAGTACTTTATCGACCATAAGTCATCGCATGTCCAATGAATAGTAATGCAATGATTATCTGTTTCGCCAAATGTATGTGACGTGACATTATTATTGTGCACGTTAGGTAAACAGATCCACAGCCGCAGAAGCCAGAAGCACATCGCCATATTGTTGTTGGGCCCATATCCATATGAGATAGATGGACATGAAGGCCCGACCCAGCAGCTTTAATTACGGTTGTAGGGGCTCAGTGGGTTGATCAAGGTGGGTGTGGGCTCTTCGTTGGGGAAAAGGGTCGCCCTCCTTCACGTGACACAGCTTCGCGGGCCGACAAATAGATAGGTTGATTTTTTTTTTTGTCATATAGATAGTAAATAAAAAAAATTATAGAATATCACACAACCAAACATGTCAGCCGACAAATAGTCGAAGTGTCGATGAAAAGACTTTTTTAACCCATAAATTATTTTTTGTTGGTTGTTAGTCTCACAATTTGAATCCAGAATGTGTTAGATGTTCTCATCCTCACATTACCACTAAATCGACCCTTGTATTTACATGTTGACTTTCATATAAGTTATTTGATTGAAATTCCACATATTCAATATGTAAATATTCTGAAAGATAAATTTTGTAACACCTTAGGCGAATCCCACATCGACAAAGCACGGGAGAGATCCATGGTTCATAAGTAGGAAACGGGCCTTAACTGAGAAGACGCGTTTTGGGGTGAAATTGACGAGTTCTTGTGAGAACTCCGAAGTTAAACGTGCTCAGTGTGGAGTATAACAAGGATGAATGACCTTATGGGAAGTCACCTTGAATTGCACCCCAAATCAAAAACCGTGAGGGTCGAGGCCCAAAGCGGACAATATCTTCGTCGGGAAAAAGGTTCGGGATGTTACAAAGTTAATAAAAAAAAAAAAAAATTAGAATCTCAATGAGGATTGGACTTAGATTTCCCTTCTTTATTACTTGCATTGTCACAACAAACAACGTATATTAACCGTCCGAGTTGTATAATTGGGCAACGTCAATTTATAATGTATCACAATCCAAAACCCTGAGATTCTAGTGGCGTAGTCAACACGCTAACATCGTTGCAGCCAGCCCGTGGAGAAGACCTTAGAAACGCAATCCCCTTTCACACGATATAAGTGATAATGTAATCTGATTAAAGAATAGCAATAATAGTAACAATCAGTAACCTTAAAAAAAACAGTAAAGAGCAGGAAAATAACGATTGATGGATTAGTCATTACCTTATTACTTATTAGTGTTTAATAAGATTCTACCACTAGAAAGATTTCAATATTAAACATGGACTTTACTATCATTTCATCCGAGTTATTATCAACATAACCCCTACAAATAACCATTTACATTATGAGCTTATCAATCTAAACATCGTGTATATAAATTCTTGTGGCCTTGGATTTTGGTGAAGAAGAAAAGTCGTTTGAACATCAAAAGCAGTTGTTCATTAAGGTGCATGTTGATCAACAGTTCGACCATGTTAGCTTTATGGTCAACTTTACAGGTGGGATCGCATGGTTCATTGATCACTCTCTGCAGCGTTGGCTTGAGGTACGAAGATATCATCACCCCTAACTTGTCGAACTCTCCATGATGTAGGATATATGTTATTTTCCTTTACAATAGTACAGTCATGTTGCAACAAGATAAGTATGTCATCCCATTAGCCATCTTTCTAAAGTGATCGATTGTTTTATCCACAATGCAATAACCTGAGAGTTGACATAATAGTTCGTTTAAAAATATTACTAATTCATTAATCAAATTATACAAGTAGTAATTAATAATAGTAATAAAAGCCATCAAGTTATACAAATTACAAGTAGTACTTAAAGGCTCTTGTTGTTGATTTATCTGACAGTACGAAAATTGAAAACGGTGAACAAACACAAATTTACGTGGTATTCCTGAAAATCCAGGAAGGCAGACTATAAGTTTAACACTTGTATCTAAAGGTGGCAAATGGATTGGATTGGTGGATTGGTGGATTGGATTGGTGGATCCATGGATCAAATGGATTGGATCTAATGGATTGGTGGATTCATGGATTGGATCAAGTGGATTGGTGGATTATCCATAAATCCAAATGACATCCTCAACCAAGGACCAATATGTAAAATGTAAAAAGTTTAGGTACTAAAATGTCACAATGAAAAATTTTAGGTACCAAAACGTAATTTTCCAATGATATTTTTCGTATAAAAAATAAAATTTTAGGTACCAAAATGTAAAAAATAAAAATTATAGGTACTAAACTGTAATTTGCCAATGATCCATGGATCCAATCCACGAATCCACCAATCCAATTGGATTTGGATCAAATGGATTGGATTTAAATGGATTGGATTAGGTGGATATTTTTAATGGATTGATGGATTGGATTGGTGGATTGGATTGAAATTGCCACCTCTACTTGTATCCCTGCATTTGGCTTCTTTCAAATCACAAGCTTCCCGCCCCATTCTTTCCCTTCAATTCATGCTTCAGCTTTACAACTTTCTGACTCCAATCTCCAATAGGCATAGAGACATTTCCACGCCTTTTCTCACCACCACTACTGCGTGTACAAGTGGTCCAATACATGCCCACACATACGTGCCTGATTTTGATCCAAGACTATACTATAATAATATTTGTTGGGGATATGCATTGGGGTTGAGAAAACGATCAAGTTTTTCCGATCAAATCGAAAACGGAATCTCTTAAATCGGTTTGATTGTACCAGAAAATTGAATCGCATACGATCTGATCTAGTCTTCGGTCTTGATGATAGGTAGAAAAATCAGTTCGGACCATTCCGATTAAATACTAGCAAATTGGATAACATTAATGCACAGTCAAAAGTCCACGTTCCTGTCCAGCCTAAACCCCAGTCAACAACCCAAAACCCACATCCAATCCAGCCCAAAAGGCCAACACACCCTCAAACCTGACTCGACCTTACCTTCTCCTCACCCTCTCCCAACTGGAGGCTACCACTCCCTCACTCCCCCCCCCCCCCACAAGGCTAGCACCGGTTCATCGCCATTCCGAACCCCGCTTCGATCTGACTTCTGCCGCTGACCAACCACTCCAGTCTTCCATCCTCAGCTGAAGACCCGACAACAAGGGAGAAGAAGGAGTCGAGGGAAAATCGGAGGAGAAGATGAAGTCGCGTGAAGAAGGAGATACAAGAAGGATGGAACCTGAAAGAGTGATGGACATCTGGAGTAGATGGATAAGGATTGTGTGGGCCTGTGGGTGTGGGAGGCCGAGAAGATTAGGTTTAGTTAGCAATTGGCCTTCAATTGAACGAAGTTAGCTTTGGATTCAGTAAAAAAAAAAATAAAGAGTTAGCTCACCTCGAGTTGATCTTTTAAATTTCTCAAACTCAAGTGCTTTTATTGAGTGAACTCGAGTCCGTAAACAATTTGCTATTCGTAATGAGAGTCACCTATTACATAATTCAAAGTTGATCAATCATATCATTAGGATCTACATATCCAAACAACTTGACAACTCCACGGTGGTCAACACTCAACATGAATAAATGCCCAAAATTTTACAAATTCGGATGAAATGTTGGTTAAAAAATCTTAGTATAAGAATGTATATGCTAACATGCCATAATAGGAGGACCAGAAGTATCACTCTAACCCATTTAAGTACCATTGTGCAACTTATTCAAACCATAACATACGCAATAAACGTAATTCTCCCCCATAAATTAATTTTTAATTCTTTATCCACCTAAGCACACACGTCATCCCCTCGCCTTACCAGTTACCACACAAGGCACACATAGACAAACGCACAACAACATAACACCCAGGAAATTAAATTTCGACTAAACCCAGAAAAACCAATCTCAATCTGTCTGTCCTCAGATTCCTTCTCGATTTAATAAATCTCTTTGTTTCCCCCCCCCCCCTTAATTCATGATTATCAGGCTTTAATCACTTCCTGCCCAATCTCTAATCTCTCGCCATCAATGGTGGCGACAGGCGGGTGATAGGTAAATAAAGAATCCGTCAACAAACATAATTGGCGTATCTGGATAAAAAAAGGAAGGAGATCTCCATTCACGCGATTCAAAGGAGCGGAAAGCGTCCGAAACGACGGCGGCGCCGGTGGAACAAACCACCCATTCAGCCTGCAGTTATGAATCCCACCGCTTTGAGGTAATCTCTCGCTCCAGTCGTCGCTTTGCTTGGGCTCCAAGTCCGAAGCTTGCAGACTTGTTTTGTTTGCTTACGCACGACTTAACGACTCGTCAAAAGGTGGGGAAGTGGGAAGTGGGGTTGGGTTCAATGGGAAGAAAGGCACGCAGGCAAGGTGTTTGTTGAATTGATTCTTTGAAGTTTACTCCATAAAAAACAAAGATTTTCCAACTAATTAAACAGAAATCGCCGACGACCCTCGAGCCCCTTTATTTAGTTTTAGCCATAAATAGGGTGGGCCGTACAAATTTATGGCGATTGGAGCTGCCAGCAACTGTTAGAACTTTGGCTGGGGAGAAGGGAGCAGAAGGGGGGAAAAGAGGGGGGCGTTTCTTATGAGGTCTGTGATTGTTCTAATAGCGGTACACAAGTGGGGAAGTGGGTCCTTTTCTCGTCGACTTTCTAACGAAGTCTCAAGTCTCGTGATGCTCCTCGATTGCTAGGGATTGGGGTGAGGGGGGGAGCTTCCAGAATTCGCTATTACACGTCTCTGCTTTTGACTGTAAGAGCAGATGCTTCTGTTCGTTGAATTCTTACTGAGATTCCCTCTAGTGTAGGGTTTTTTCTTCTCTAATCCTGTTTCCTTGTTCCTTCGTTTTATTTCTCCCTCTTTTTTCTTTGTTCTCATCTGGAAGCTGGGGTTTGATTTTCCACCATACAGGGCCAGAAAGAGTCTGGAAACAGCTGTTTTTGTTGGGATATAAAGGGGTTTCCTTTTTTTCCCCTTTTCGCTCCTCTTATTAGGTTAGGTGTTTGGTGAGTTCACCTGATGGATTGGTTGGTTTCACCAGAATAAGATTTGAGTGTTGTTTCCTTTGAGATTGAGATTATAATTTGAGGGGTTCTGATTTGATCTCTCTTATCCAGTCGCATCTGAACTGCGGGGCAGTTGACTTCTGCTGCTAATTCTTGAGGATCGGAGAGTTGATCGGAGATGGAAGAAACGCAGGGCAGCTCTAGTTCTCTGCCGCCTTTCCTCACAAAGACGTATGAGATGGTCGATGATCCGTCAACAGATTCAGTAGTCTCGTGGAGTGCCAGTAATAAAAGCTTCATAGTATGGAGTCCGCCGGAGTTTTCCCGTGATTTGCTCCCCAGATTCTTCAAGCACAACAACTTCTCCAGCTTCATCAGACAGCTCAATACTTATGTAAGTCAAAGCTTATTTCTTTCCCACCATCAACGAACTCTCTCTCTCTCTCTCTTTTCCTTTCCTTTTCATTGAATTGGAATATGATTATCGATTTCTAACAGGGCTTCAGGAAAGTAGACCCAGAACAATGGGAATTTGCCAACGAGGACTTCATCAGAGGTCAACCACACCTTATGAAGAACATCCACAGAAGGAAGCCTGTTCACAGCCACTCTATGCAGAGCCTACAACAAGTACAAGGATCTAATGGTAACAACAACCCCTTGTCAGACCCTGAAAGGCAGAGTTTGAAAGACGACATCGAGAGGCTTAAACACGACAAAGAAGTGCTCGTCGTCGAGTTACAGAGGAAAGAGCAAGAGAGACGAGCGTTCGAGCTGCAAATGCAGGTTCTGAGAGACAAATTTCAAGAACTCGAACGGCGTCAGCAGACGATTGCTTCTTGCCTTACAAAGGCAATGAATACACCACCAGGGCTAGCCCTGGATCTCATGCCACAGCAGGTAGAAGTTCATGAGAGAAAGAGAAGGCTGCCTAGAATCGGTTGCTTCGAAGAAGAACTCATGTCGGAGAACACCAACAACAACGACAGCAATCAAATGGAGATATCATCAGCATGTCTGGCTAGAGAAAATGTAGAGAAGTGTGAGCTGTTGGAGTCATCTTTGACATTCTGGGAGAACGTTGTGAACGATGTCAGTCAAACAACAACTGCGACACCATTCAATCATCACCAGTACACGCCGTCGCTGGTGGAAATGGATGAGTGTACAAGCTGTGCAGACAGCCCAGCACAATCCATCATGCAGCTGAACATATCAGATGTTGTTGTTCATCCCAGATCCCCAGGAATAGACATGAATTGTGAGCCTGTAACAACTAGTGAGCTCAGCCCGCCAAAGGAGCAGGCAAGTGGAACAACAACAACAGAGCCGCCTGCTGCTGCTGCTGCTGCTGGGGTGAATGATGTTTTCTGGGAGCAACTGTTGACAGAGAATCCTGGTTCAGCTGCAGCTGCTGATGCACAGGAAGCTGAGTCGGAGAGAAGGGATTCAGGTGACAAAAGGAATGAGATCAAACCTAGCAGTAGTGACCATGGAAGGAATTGGTGGAATATGAGGAGTGTAAATAGTCTTGCGGGGCAGGTGGGGCCTCTTACCCCTGCTGCAGGAAGAACTTGAGAACAGAAACATTCCTATTTGGTTGTTTTGATTTTTTGCCTGGCCTTTTCCACTTGTTGAGATAGTTGCACATGTAATAAAACTATGTACACCGATTGGGTCTTCTTGTGATATATGATATAGAAGAGTAGTTCAGTGTTTTTTCTTCTTTTTACAGTATGCTGATCTTCTTATATTGTGCATCGTGTCTCTTGTTGTTCGACTTTGCATCTTACCAGGAAGATGTCTGTCTGTCTATTTTGTGCTTTTTTTTTTTTGTGTTCTGTTCTGTTGTTATTTTGCAGTAAATAGACAGTTCTGTCGACCGCCGGCCGTCGTCTTTTTCTGGTGTCTCCTGCTTTGAATACCAGAGAAATTCTGGCTGCTGCGATCAAATGCTACAACTCACTCCATGTTTTACAGTTTGATATCATTCTTCATGTTTTTTCTCTGTAATTTTTTGGATTAGGAAATCATAAGGGTTAATTGCATGGTTGGTCACTGAGATTACAAAAAACATTCATGTTTGGTCACTGAAAATATTTAAATCCAATCTTGGTCACTCAAATTAGTTAAACGGTTCAAGTTTGGTCACTCTCCGTCCAACTCCGTTAAATATGTCTGATGTGGCAGTCAACCCTCAAAGTTGACCGTTAACTCGGTGACGTGGCAATTAAAAAATAATAAATAAAATAAATTTTAATCTTCTACCATTTCCAACTCATTTTTACAATAAAGTAAAATAAAAAAATAATTATAATCACAAATTGAAAGAGTAGCTTCCTCCTCCACCACCACATCCCTTCTCGCAATCCCCTCCGAAAATAAATAGGAAAAAAAGAGGATAAAAAATGGCTTCTGGGTTCCCCGACAGAGGAGGAATCGGCGGCGGTTCAGAGAATCACCATTGCATTCACGTTCTAGTGAACCATCATCAGTGCTCCTGGTGCGTTGGGTCAGGAATGGGAAAAGGAGTGCGTTGAAAGCGTAGTACCAGAAGGGCACATTGATGAATATCTACAAATCATTATCAATAAATTCAATCGGCCATCAATGAAATATCATTAAAAAAACAGAGTCCTGGAAAACAGAGCACAAGCAAAATTTTGGGGGGAACTCACGTTTCTGGCGACCAATTCAGGGTAATTGTCCTGCAGAATCCCGACAGCCTGCTTCATGGCGACGCGAAACTCCTTCTTGGACGCCGAGGGAGAGTTCTTGAGATCGCTGATCTGAAGCAGAGAAGTGACGCAGCCGGGCTTGAGTTGAAGCTTCTGAACCTCCTTCTCCAACGGCTGGATCCTCCACCTGAGGAAATGCTTCCTCTTCTCTTCGTCCCCAAACGCCTTGGCGTAGAGCTCCTGGTTCTCGAAAAAATCGTAGGCGTTGTACGAGATGAGGTGGCCCTCGCGGTCGACGTCGTTGGTGAAGAAGGCGGCGGCAAGATCCTCGCCCAAATCCTCTTCCAGGATGGAATCGATGTTGTTCTCCTTCCTCCACAACAGGGTCTTCTTCAGCATCTCGAAAGCTTCGTTGACCTTGAACTCCCTGGCTCGGAGGAATTTTAGCAGCACGACGTCGGTTCCTTTTGTGGAGCAACGACGATCTTGCTCCTGGTGCGTTGGGTCAGGAATGGGGAAAGGATTCCTCCTCCGCCGGGGAACCCAGAAGCCATTGCGGAGGAGGAAGCTACTTTTTCAATTTGTGATTATAATAATTTATTTATTTATTTTTATTTTACTTTATTGTGAAAATGAGTTGAAAATGGTAGAAGATTAAAATTTATTTTATTTATTATTTTTTAATTGCCACGTCACCGAGTTAACGGTCAACTTTGAGGGTTGACTGCCACATCAGACATATTTAACGGAGTTGGACGGAGAGTGACCAAACTTGAACCATTTAACTAATTTGAGTGACCAAGATTGGATTTAAATATTTTCAGTGACCAAACATGAACGTTTTTTGTAATCTCAGTGACCAATCATGCAATTAACCCGAAATCATAATGTTCAGGTTATGAGGATGTTCAGTGCTGAGATGAGTCGTTTTGAAGGGGAAGTAAAAGGAATATGATGATTCAATGTCTTGTGCTCTTCTTCTGTGCGACTGCCTGCTAGTTATCTGGTGGCTTTGTGGAGGAGAATGGGAAGTGATGCTGCTGCTAGTTATCTGGTGCGATGCGATCATACACGTGTGCCTAGGAAAAAAGTTAGGAAACTGAGAATGTAGTTGGAAAGTGGAAAATCCCAAGTATGAAGGATTTTGCACAAATTCATTGTTTGCTAAGGAACACAAATCTATGAGGTTCACAGATTTTAGATTCAAATCTATGGACCCTACGGATTTGTAAATCCACATTTCATTTGAGATTTGATAATGAAAGACAAAGTTGTGAGACAAATTCATCATAAATCCAAATAAAAATTAGGGGTCGTTTGGTAGTTGTGATTGTTAGAGTTGTGTTTATTGAATACATGTATTGAATATAATGTTTGGAAGTGTCAAAGTGTAAAACAATGCATGTATTGTTTTAGGTAGGTCCCACCAACAATAACAAAAAATGATGTATTATACAATGTCAACTAAAAGTTGTGATTGTTGATTTTAGATTTGTGTCCAATTTTTCTTTCCATTTATATCCTTATTAGTTTTTGTCTTATACTAAAAGTTGAGGATAAATGTTACATTTACCCATAAAGTAACTTTATGCAAGTCAATATATAAAGTAGAATCTCAACAACCAAACAATGTATTATTAAAATGCATACATTATACCAATACATATATTATTTTGCTGTAATTCATTACAATGCAACGATTTAACATTCGCATGTTCCAAACGACCTCTTAAACTAAGCAAACAATGTATTCTTCCAAATCCACAATTCAACAAATACATCATAAATCTAAAGATTTTTAAAATCCAAAACTTTTATTTTCAAATCCAACAAGCAAAGGAGCTCACCTCACCGTCTCTTTTGGTTGGGCCGGGTTTTCGGCTTGCTTTCGGTGATGACGTGATGAAGTGAATTCTTTTCTAAATCCCTCCCGTTCAGGAAAGAGTCGACGCTGTCTGTACCGGCAAAGCAGAGCCCTTTCCCCAGGCCAAAATATGTCCGCCGCCGCCGCGTCAAGGCGTTTGGTTTCCGGTCTCCACCGCACCCTCTTGCTTTCCTCCAGATCCTCCGCAGCAGCAGCAGTAGTCGTCACCCGTCCACCATCTTCATTTCATCAATTTCTGAGGGGATTCACTGCCAGTTCCGATGCTCTGCTTCAGCAGCAGCAGGAAATTGTTTTGCCCACGCGAATCATCGAACCCAAGCCCGGCGCCATGTCCCCTTCGTCCAAGCGAACGGGGCTCATCGCCGTCAAGTGCGGGATGACTGGGCTTTGGGACAAATGGGGCGCTAGGGTTCCCATCACCGTGCTCTGGGTCGACGACAACATCGTCTCTCAGGTCAAGACTATTGAGAAAGAAGGGATTTTTGCCTTGCAGGTAAGAAGGAAGACATTGCCATGTTTCCCGTTTAAAGTCTTCTTTTTCATGGGATCACATGGTTTTATATGGTGTGGGTGGTTCAGATTGGTTGTGGCCAGAAGAAGGCGAAGCATTTAACGAAGCCTGAAGTGGGTCATTTCAGAGCGCAAGGTGTTCCTCTCAAGAGGAAATTGAGGGAATTCCCAGTCACTGAAGATGCGCTGCTGCCCCTCGGCACTTCTCTTGGCGTTCGTCATTTCGTTCCGGGCCAATATGTTGATGTCACTGGAATCACCATGGGAAAAGGTTTCCAGGTCAAGAAGCTTTCTCTTTGTTTTTCCATTTTGTTGCCTACGCCGTTCAGTTTGATTGAGTGTGAACTTTAGAGATTGATACAATGGCTGGTTTACTTACTGGAAGTGGAATGGAACATTCTTGTGGTTGTATGCAGGGTGGAATGAAGAGGCATGGGTTTAAAGGAGGGCCGGCGAGTCATGGTGCATCGTTATCGCACAGAAGTATTGGTTCTACTGGTCAGAGGGATGCTCCTGGTAAGGTCCGTGCTGCCATTATCATCATCATCATCAACATCATCATCAAATTCCCTGTTCGTTTATGTAGTTGTGTAAATTTAGTTTTCCTTCTAGTCGATGTGATTGATCGCCCCTCGAATCGTGAATGTGTGATGTAGAACAGACTCTTGATTTCCTTTAGTTGTCGAAGTTTCCTTCTATAGACAGTAGGCATTTGGTGGGTTTAAAACTCAAGCGGTTAGCTTTCGTTCTGGTTAGCTTCTGGAGTTAAAAAGTTGAGACTGAGTTAAGCTCCGTGGACTGTTATCTCATGATGTGTACATTATACCATATGTTTTTGGATTAGGTGTGTTCTATTGGCGAGTTTGCATCTCTTATATGTATATTTGCATTTGCAGGTCTTTAAAGGGAAAAAGATGCCTGGGCGTATGGGTGGCAAGCAAAGAACGGTGAAGAACGTATGGATATACAAGATCGATCCAGTTCGGAACTTGATCTGGGTGAAAGGCCAAGTACAGCTCCTCTCACCCTCATCTCCGTTTCATATGCACACTCGTAAAATGTATCTTTTCTGTGTAGATTGTCAGTTGTATGAACAATTGGTCTATCGTTGTGTAGGTACCGGGAGCAGAAGGTAATTTCGTGTTCATAAAAGACGCGGTGTACAGGAAGCATGAGATTTCGTTGCTTCCTTTCCCAACGTATTTCCACGGAGAAGGCACGGAGGATACGTTGGAACCTTTGGTCGCGGACCTTGGAGACGTAGATCCATTCATGCTGGGAGATTAGCAACTTCTGTGAGCAAGCCCTATAGGAAACCTTGGCTGATTAGGAATTCAGACAGCTCGTTCTTACTCCTGATAAGTTTTGTTGTTCAGTTGAAAAACAATCGTGTGTTGCCTCTAGGTGCCCCTAAGAGGGCAAATAGTGTGAGTCAGAGGTGTAGGTACATAATTTGCAGCCTTTTGTTGTTCCGATTTGAACATGAATAATATTTTGGTTTGAACGAGAGGACATGATTTGGTACTTGATTCACTTCTAGCAAAGGCTAAAAGCATCTTAACCTTCATGTTCCAAGCAAGGCTGGCTCTGTTGATCTTCTAAAAGCTTTGATTTTGCATTTTATTCAAGGATGAAATTTGTGAAGAGGCTAAATTGGGTTGTCTAAGGAAGTGGTAACTGTGGCGGGAAAAAATTGGATTACAATTTACATTAACGTTACTATGAAGGAAGAAATGAAACCAAATTTGTATTTCTAGGTGGGTGATCTGGGTTTACTGGAGAGATATTTCCCACAGGAGATCAAGTTCAGCAATGACTGCGGTCGTCTTCCCCCGACCTTCAAACGAGATAGCTGCAGTACATTGTGTAAACATTGGTCAGCATCAATCACCAGCCAAAATCTTTTGCTCAGACCTGAATTTAGAAGCCAGGATGTATTACCTTCCTACGGGTCACTCTCGTGGCTTTCCAGCAGAGCATGCTACTTCTCGATCGAGGCTCCAGCCTCCTGTCAAAATGCAACCATCGCGAATTCAAAACCTGGCCGAATGCAGGTGACCTGAAAACAAGTGTGGTGTTTTGGACTCTTAAGAGGGGGCACTTACAAGTTTTCTTGTTCCAGCTTCTCGGCTATGGAAACTGCTGTGCGTCTCGACCATGTATTCGGCTGATTACACCCTTCCACCCGCTGCTGAATCACATGAGCCAGGGACACCTTGCCTCTCACAAGGCTCCTACTGTGGCTTAGTTCCCCTACTCTACGTGGAACAGCTGGCTTATGCTGTTGTAAGTCTGCATGTTTAGGGGAAAGTTGTTCTTCAACGATCTCGTCATCTCTCCCTGCATTATCATACTGTTCTTCTGCCCTTGAAGCTGTCCTCCTGTCATCTCTAGCTACTACATGTGACGTTGATGAACCTTTTCTGGTGCTCGGTAAAACGAGTTGAGTGTGGGGTCTGCTGCTTTTGCAAGGTTCTGTTCTGATTTCGATCGTCACTGGTGAACCGAGAACCGATTCAAACGCATGTAAAATGTGCGTGCTGAACTTCTCTGCCTTGGATTTTGTCAGCTGTGAGCTGAACACCAGCTGCACGGTTGGAGCTGGAAATATAAAACAGCAATTGAGTTCGGATGATTAGCTGCTGCAACAAACAAACATAGAGCTGCTGGGATAGGACATGGAGCCATAGAGGTGGCAACTATCACAAACTGTCCAGAAATTCACTTCAACTTTTACAAGGCAGATTTGTTCGAGATAGTGGAAAATCACTTTCTGCACTCATCTTTTAGATATCAAGTTATCAACAAACCCATCTACCTCTGCGATTTTACAGTTTATTACCCCGACTTCTAAGACTTTAGCTACAAAGGCACAGCAATTTCAAGAAATGTCATTGATCCCATGGCCCACAAGTACTTTTAAATCCCTACCCAATCCATTGAACCTTTACATGAAGTTTTGCTGATGTTATGGCACAAGAAAATGAATTTCAATAATCATTGGAGTAGTGATATGAAATTGATTCAACAAACACTGTTCAACTTCTATGGTAATCAGAGAACAGTATATTTCGTACGCAATGCACTAATGAAGTAGTAGTACCTGGACCAAATGTGACAGAAATCAGTGATCCTTCTTGGTACAAGAAGTCCCTTAAACCCTTCATCTGAATATTCTCAAGCACCTCGATCCAAATTTCTTCATATCCCATATGACTTTTGCCTGGGATCTGCCTTCTCATCTCCATGTTGGCCCCATTTTTCAATCTGTTTCCATGCTGATCAATGGAAGTTCTAGCAGGGAGTTCTTTATCTAATCTATTAGGATGTTGTGAAGGTAAGCTTCTCTCGCTGTGGGGAGTCATCTCTGCGTTTCTGGTGGTTGTATCTCTTCTGCCGGGCAGGGGACTGTGATTTAAACTGGGCTCTGAGCTAGGCAACAGGTATTGCTGATCTGGTGCAAGTTGAAGAAGTGCTGCTGTTAGCCATGTCAGCTTGTCGTTAGACATCCTAAGTTGCTTTTCAGCCTCGGAAAGTGTTTTCAATGCTTGCCGCAATTTCTCCATTTCTTCCTTCGACACTGGGAATTGGAACAGAAGTTTTCACCCAATCAACTTTTGAAGTGAAAACCACATTTGAATGTAGCAAGCAAGTTGCAGAAGTTTAAACAAACACAACATAAGTATTTGTCCAACCCTAAACCAAATCATATTTGTTAAGAAGATGAGTAAATGAAACAAAAGGTAGAAAATCTAATAGTAACAGAACACAAATGATTGGAACTTACTTGGTTGTCGCTTGAAAAACTTCCGTCTATGCCGCTCTCTAGTGAAATCATATGTTCCAGCTAATATATCAGTGATAACAGTAGCAAGCTGCGACATTAAAGCTAAAGGCTCCACACCTATCTCCATTATGACCCTCAAGTTCTTCACAGTGTTCACTGTATCTGCAGATAATGCCAGGTCAAGAAGATCCACCAATTTTTCATCAGATATTAGCCCAACCTGTGAAGAAACCATTGAAGTCTTAGAAAACATACCATAAACTACAAATATCAGCTGGGTGCAGAATGACTATGTGTGCTACGAAAATTCCAGTTGGTAAAAGAACTTACCAGCTCCTGAATTAGAGGCACAGAGACCTTCTGCCCGAGCAAACTAAGTTGCTCGAGAGTCATCTCAGCATCTCTCAGCGATCCATCTGACCGAGTGGCAATCAGTTTCAAAGCATCCTTATCAATGTCTATATCTTCTCTTGAAGCAATCCATTGTAAAGTATAGATAATGTCTGCATCTTTCAACTTTGGGAAGAAGAATTTCTGGCACCTCGATATAATGATATGAGGCAAAACATCGAGACTCGAACTAACAAGGATGATGACCACACGCCTTGGAGCTCGATCGACAACCTTTGATATCGCACTCCAGCATTCGGGTGACAAAGTATCACAATCATCAAAAATGAAAACCCTGTAATGAGATGGCAACTGGGAAACTATCATGTTGTCAAGAAGATCCATGAATCTTTCGAAGTCAAAATTAGGACCAACTTCTCTAATATTCTTGTTCTTGCCCATGTCATGTGCAGAGCAAGACTTGCAGTAACCACAAGGCTTGGACTGTTCCATCGACTGACAATTTAGAGTCCTAGCGAAAATTCGGGCACAAGAAGTCTTGCCAGTGCCATGAGGTCCATAAAATACATACAGAAGTCCAACCTTCCGTTTCACGACTGCATTAGCAAGAGCCTGTGAGACCAGATTCTGTCCTACAAGGTCTCTAAAGCTTCTAGGCATGTACTTTTGGGTCAGATTCTGATGCCTTCGGTTGTGATTCTGGCCCTGATGATTGCCTTGACGATCACCCGATCTAGCTTCAGAGGCAAGATCAGAATCAAGATCATTTCTCAGCAAATTATCAGCATATAGACCAAGCTCACCAGAATAGTCATGTGTCCAATGAGCATTGTTGTCGCTCGATCCGGCAGAGGGTTGGTCCAATAGAGGCAGTGCCTCAGAACCAGACCTTGATGCCGCTGAACTTGATTGACCAGATGCCATTGGCATATCACCCATGTCCCTCTCATGAGAACCTCGCCTCAACCTTGACTCAGACCGACCACAAGCCAGACTCTTTCCAGCCCTGTCGAGAAACGTTTTCCCCCTATCATGAATCCTTGACCAATTCCATGGAATCCCACACCCATTTCTTGGACCATGCGTGACACTCTGATCTCCGTAATCTTCTACTTCTCTTTCTTGAGCTAGTAGTGAATTAGAAGCTGCAGCAGACATTTCTTTATGATGATGACCTCCTCCAATGTCTCTAGGAGGTGCACCTCGACTTCTTCTTCCCCTGACGCCCCTAAACTTACGCCTTTTAACCCGATTAACTCCACCAAGTCTACCATTACGATGAATGCTGGAAGAAGATGCTGCTACATCACTGTCCATAGCAGCAACCTGCTTCAGCTGCTGAGAAAGACTCTTGATATGTTCATCATCACTATGCTTTGACTTCTGCTGCCTACTTTTCCCATCTCTAGACCCTAAATTGCCAGAAACCGTATCACGAAACGATAAACCATTAACATCATCAGTTCTACTACCACTCTTTCTAGTACTAGATTCTTCCCTCCTAACTCTCCCACTACCCTCCTTCATCCCGCCCTTACTACTACGATCACTTACAGGAACAACCTTCGACGGTTGATGACTGGAAACCTGAGGCGAGCCACCAGACAACCTCCTGCTGCTGCTCTCTCTTCTACCAACAGAAGACCTCCTGCCCTCTTGTATATGGAGACTGTTATCCTCCTCGTCATGATCACCTTTCTTGGGCAGCAGATCGACAACCGAGGGCGACTTCCACGACGAAGGAGGGCTCGCCGAAGGATCACGAAGCGAACGGGACCTCTGCAGGCTAATGAGGTCTCTCATTAGGGCCCTGTCATTGAGTACCGGGCTCTGCTTGTGCATGTGGTTCTTGAGGTGGATGCAGTTTGTCAAATGGATGTGGTTGCGGAGATGGTCGCTGATATTGCCATTTGCGTCCTTGAGAATCCTCCTGCTACTACTTCTGGCGACAGCTTTGGTCATGATCACAACATTAATGCATGTAATAACAACAAAATCTCTTTGATTGAACCAATCAAGCAGTGCAGCATCTTCTTTCGGTAAGAACCCGCTAACTAATCGGCGGAATCGCAGTGGGATTGGCCGGAGTTCAAGGAATCAAAGATCCTCCTTTCGCCATCAATCAATCAATTAATAGTTATCCCCAAATTCTCAGGGATTTTTGTTCAGCAGAATATAACCATTAACGACAGCAAGCTACGAAAGAACCCTTCATTCATTATGGCAACAGAGGAAACAAAGAATTAAATCCCTTTCCCCTCGTACCTTGAAACCGTAAAGAACCCAGCTTTATCACCGGCTTCTGCGTCAGCAGCTGAGCTCCAATGCATGAGTCCAAAATAGCTCAACTAGTTCGACCCAACTTCAGTTCAACACAGGCGAAACCTCAAATCTTGTTTAGAAGAAAGGCCAAAGCTATGGACAAAAATGGCGAGAGAGTGAAGTTGGA